CACAACGCCGAGACCGATCGTGATCGTCTGCGCCTGGAGGCCACTCAAGCCGGAGACGAGATCAGGGACTTGCAGGAGCAGGTCCGCAGTTTGGAGCGTGAGACTGACGACGCGAGGTCCGAATCCGTCACTGCTCTCGCCAGCTACAACCGGATCTCTTCCTGCCTCACCCACCCGCAACCGGATCACGGAGGGGATTCGTCCCTTGGAAGCACCACTCGTCTAGCCCAGGCGCACCGTGATCGTGCGTTAGCAGATCTTGCACTCGCCCGCGCAACCCTGATGCAGGTCATCTCCGACCGCGATCGAGCCTTCAAGCGACTCGCCCAGACTACCGAAGATCGGGATCGGGCGCTTGTTGATCGTGATTCGGCCCTTCGTGATCAGGCGATTGCCGAACGCGGTCAGGTCCGTTTGGATCTTTTTACCGAGGCCGCCCGCGCTGTCCAACTGGACGATGATCTTGAGGTGGTTCGTCTGGAACATCAGGAGCGGGAGGGCAGGATGGCGGATCTCCAGGTCGCCAACGACCAACGCGACGAGATACGGGATCTGGCCGAAAGTGATCTGAATGAGGCCGATGTGCTTCTCACACATCTCACACAGAGCCGGATACGAGAGAGTCAGGTGGCACGGATGCCGAAACGTGAGCGAAGTCCGCCCAATTACCGCCTCTCAAGACGCCTCGCAGCGATCGGCCTGTTTCCCCGCCGCCTGACCAAGATCAGCCCGAGATCGAGGGTCCGGAAGATGAGGAGATCGAAGATAACCCCGAGATCGAAGGTCCGGAAGACGAGGAACTCGAAGATAAACCCGAGATCCCAAGCGGTGGTGGAGGCAGCCCGGGTGATCATGACTCCCCTTCGTCGGATCACGGCCCCACGACGCCTCCTCCATCACCTCCTAGATCTCCCGGCGGAAGTCCTGGTGGTGGTTCACCCGTCCAGCTACATCCACCGCTATTTCCCGCCGAAGCGAGTTCCACACTCAGGCTCTTCACGGCGGCCGAGATCACTCCGTGGGACCCGCCTATCGTGGGAACCGTACCGATCATAGCTATGATCCCGGCCACTCTGACCAAACGGTTGCCGATCCCGCCCAATTTCCTGTTCCTCGTCCGAAGCCCTCTTGTCCGGGCACCCATACCCGTGACTGGTTATCGTTCGGAGTTGATCACCGGTGCAAACGTTTTGGCTCTCATGACTACCGAGCCATGGCGCATGCTTGGCCAGCGTCGCCCCACTCCACTGACTTTCGATCACAACATACACCGGCGAGCGGGCACCCCTCTATGGCGGATCGCCGTATTGTATGCCGCCCTGGAGGAGGATCACATGATCGCGTATTGGGAATCGACCTATTACCTCGAGATCACGAAAGCGATGGCTGACGCGGACTCAGATCTCTTCACCTACCACCAAGATCGACGTCTACGACGGGTCCGGACTGGAGAGAGTTGGCCGAAACTGTTGGGAGAATGCCTCCTAATGATGAGGGTCCAGTGAGCCGATATCGACGTCCTGCTGGGTCCCTATTTCCTCCACCTGCCGACAGTACAGGATCGGGTACGTTGGTATCCCGGATCGGTCTCCAGGGCGGCCAATCTCGCACAGCCGGCCGCGAATCTCCCCGAGCCGACCGACCTGACACGGCCCTGTTTGAGTGCGATCAGGCGGCTCCCTGGAGGAACCATTACCGCGATCCCGGTACCGCTCATCCATCGCTGCAGATCCCTCGTCTCGTGAGCAAGTTCAACCTTCCAGCGGCCCCTTGATCGTCGATCTAGCTCCCACTCTTCGTCCACTTCCGTGATCTCTGATTTCCTACCCGTGATCGCGTTTCTTCCTTGTCGATCTCGTAATTCATAATCCAGCCACATCTTCTGCTTCTTTGCTCTTTTCGGCGCCATTCCTAAGCGATCTCTCTTCCAATTCATCATGTCTTCCGTGATCTCTTGCGACGGCTTCCATATGCACATATACAACATGAACTCCTGATCTCGGTCTTATCTGACCGGTATTCCCTCGGGGTCGAGACAATCAGGTAACCTCACCCAGGCCTCCTTACCTCTACTCATGTGATTGCATCACATTGAAGCCGTTCCGATTGGCCCGTTCTCGCAGGAATGCGCTCAATATTACCACGCAGTTGAGATCGGCTTCGTCGACCCAGGTTGGCTCATCATATCCTGCCCAGTGAACCAGGAATTCTCGGTAGATCCGACCAAATCGCGTCTTCTTTCCACTCCGCACATCGAAGATCCGCTCGACTTCGTACTCATCGGCCCCGAGATCTGAAACCCAAATGTCCTCCGGAAGCAGGATCTCATCGAAATCGAGACGATCCGCCTCTTCCACCGTAAGTTCTACTCGTGGCTGATCCGGAAAATCCTTGACCAATTTCAACTTCGATACGTGCACTACTGGGAAGATCTGATACCCGGTACCCGCGATCTCGAGCTTGACGCTGAATTCGTTGATCTTTTCGGCGACTCGGAACGGCCCATGCCACATGTGAGCCAATTTCCGCGCGTATCCTTCCTTCACCCGATCTAGGTATAGTCAGATACGAGATCCGGCCTCGATCTTGTGCGATCCGACGTCTTCGTTTTGTCGGCCGGCCCGATCTGCAATGGCCTCCTTCAATCTAGCGTTGACCTGCTCTCGGGACTGTTGATAATATCGCTGGACCCGATAACGCCACCGCCGAGCGTCTCGATCGCGCCGTCTAGCGCAGCCGACTGGCAGTGTGGCTTCCAACGTCGATCTAGGATCCCACCCATGCACCAAATAGTGAGGTGTATCTCCTCGGATCCGATCGTGGGTCGTGTTGATCGCGAAGGTGAGTCGCTCGGCGTATTCATCCCAATCCTTCTGATCGAGATCGCGAACGTACATCTTGAGCGCCCTGGTCGCGGTCTGCACCATTCTCTCAGCGGTCCCGTTGGCTTGTGGCCGATATGCCATCGTCGCCCGCTGCCGTTGTCCCAGGATCTTGTTAAACGCCCGGAAGAAATCGGACGTGAAGCCGGGTTCTCGATCATGCCGAACTATCTCACTGGCACCAAATCGCCGAAATACACACTCTTCGTACGATTCCGCAACCGTCTGGGCCGATCGGTACGCGCTGGCTTTTGCGATCACATATCCTGTGAACAGATCGACCCAGATCAATAGCTTAGTGTTTCCCTTATGGGATCTGGGTAGCGACGGTATGTGATCCATCGCGATGATCGGGAACGGGTACGTCGCCTGCAAATTCCCCGGTGATTCACCCCGGATCACCGGTTTTCTTTTTCCTGTTTCGCAATCCACGCATTCCGCCACATATCGCTGAACACTCCGATATAATCCCCTCCAGTGGAAGTGATCCCTGATCCGCTGGTAGGTATGCCCCAGTCCCTGATGTCCTCCTTCCAACGTGGTGTGATAGTGGTGTAATACGTCCGATTGCATGTTTCGGGGACTACCAGTCTCAGCAATCGATCCCGATTATCCCCCGATCTCGGCGTGGGCGGGCAATAAAAGAGTAGATCTTGCTCGTCCACTTCGTAATCGGCTGCGATCTTGCCGTATGATCTCGCTTCCGCTTGTGTGAGATCTGCGATCGAGCCACTCAGATACTTCTTCATGCCTAAGATCCAGACTTCCTCCTCCTGGGCCTGCTTGATCCGATCGACCCGCATCTCCCGGATCAGATCCTCTTGCATGACGCCCGCAGGTGATCTCGCTCGACCAGCTCGAGTGGTTACCGCTGCAACTCGCACCACTGGGTTCTCGGTCCTGGGAATCAAGATTTCGTCTAACCGATTCAGAGTGATCAAATCCTGGTACCCGGGCACCTCCTGGTTGTCGTTGCAAAGTGGCGCTCGCATGACTGTCGGTACTTCCGTTCCAGTCTCTCTTGACATGCACTAGCTCATTATCACTCCATTTCTTCAGGAGATCGAGGGCCTTCTGCTTCAATAGCGTCAGTCCGGGTGCTTTGCAATCGATCTCTCCCCGTACTTGTCGGATCACTAAGTTGGAATCACCGCAGACCACCAGGTATTTGGGATCTAGGTCCTTTAGCATGCCGAGTCCCAGGATCAAGCCGTTATATTCTGCTTCGTTTACGGTGAGGCTCTCGAGATAGCCCGATCTGACTTTGACCACCTCCCATCTGGGCAGACTCCACACGATCGCGCTGAGCGCGCCTCCGCCACGCTTAACTCGAGCGGATCCGTCAAAACTGACCACCCATAATTCCTCTTCTCGATCTACGGTGGGTATCGGCGCTTGGATCCGGCGTTTAGGTTCCTTCCGGGGGCGATTTCGGTCAGAGCGTTGTCCATCTTCGCCCTCGGGGTGATACTGGCCGCGATCGCCGCCAGTATTTCGTCCTCGCCCTTCGTGCACTTCGTGATCTCGAGCGTCCACGGAGCCTAGAGGGCGGACCATTGTCCTAGGCGGCCCTGCAATCCCGTCGACTTGAACAGCCAGGACAATGTAGAATGCCTCGTTAGGGCCCGGATCGCGCGTCCCAATAGCATATTGTAATAGAGATCCAAGATCCTCAGCAATGCCAACACCTCCTTCTCGGTCACATTGTAATTCAACTCGTTCGTCTTCAAGGTGCGACTGGCGAACGCCACCGGATGATAGATCCCGTCGTGTTCTTACGAAGCAGATATCGCCCAATCACTGGCATATACGACAAATACCGGCGTTCTTGCCTCGTCGAAATGGCGGAGGACTAGGGTCGTCGCGATCTTGGTTTTCAAGGCGGTGAAGGCCCTATGTGCTCTGATCCACCTCTCATCCACTGGTTCCGTCAACTTCAGTTCCGGTGGGCCGAGATCTCGTGGAACCGGGTCGTTCCGGTCCATGATCTTCCTCAGATCCGATCTTTTCTCCAGTTCTGCGAACTCCACCTCGCGTAATTCATAGAGCACCGAAGCGTAGATAGCGTAATCTTCGATGAATCGGCTGTAGTAATTCCAGGAACGACTGCATAGATCGAAGAGATCCGGGGAACGGCAGATCGGTCAGAGATTTCAGGTCTTTCGGGTTCGCCTCCAGACCTCCAACTGACACTCGGTGTCCCAGATATCCCACCTTATCCATACCCTAATTGCTCTTGACTACACTGATCGACAAATTCCACTTATCGCAAGCCTCCAACAGATCCTC